TATCTGTAGATTATTTGATCATCTAAATTATATTATTAATTGGTGTAACTTGGCGTAACTATATGCAAATCTTATGATCAACTATGCCGAAACTACGGAGAAACCTATTATAGAGGTTTCGGCATGTTTCGGCAGTTTCGCAATTTTGACAGGTTTCGCAGTTTCGGCTTTTCGGCGTTTCTGCACTATATAAGAGGTTTCACCTTTCTGCATTAGGCCAAACAGGTTTCGGCAAGCAACCTTAATCACAACGTCATGCAAAATTTAAAGCTTTGAGAAAAAATACTTCAAAACGCAATATCTCGCTATCCAGTGATTATAAAAGGATGATTTTACCACCATTCGAATCGTCTCGCTGCGGCGCGTCGAATGGTATAAAAATCATGATTTTAGAATTGATAAAAAAAAATTACGTCAGCAAAACTATTTGATAATAAATTCAATAATTACCGACTATCTATCGATCCTAGAAACATGATTTAGTCACCATTCGACGCGTCTCGCTGAGATGATTCGAATGGTGGTGGTTTCATCCTTTTATGATCACTGGATGATGAGATATTCCGCTTAAACGCTTTTTTTGGAGTTTCGGAGTTTCAGCGTTTTGACAAGCAACTCTACAAGTGGGAAGAGTGATTGTCATTATTTATTGGTTTGGAAATGGCCGGTCTTTATATTATTTTATGAAGACCTTTGTCAGATTAATAGGTTTATTCAATATAAAATTCATTTATTATATGAAGACCGGTATGAGGACTGGTCGGTCCTCAGGACCGGTCCTACTGCGCCACAAAAAAATGCAAGACCGCGGTCCGGTCCTACAAGTCCTGGGACCGACCGGTCCAGGACCGAGTAGGACCGGTAGGACCGATGACCATCCTTAACTGAAAGTGTCTGGAAAATGTTCAGGTGTCCGGAAAATGTCTGAAAAATTACAATATTCCAGATGCCAAGACGTTTTGAATTTCCGGAAAATTTCCGGAAAATGCCTAGGAGGACTCAAGTATGTCTGGAATTCTTTTTTTATAGGGGAGTTTGTCAGACAACTTGAAGAAAATTCACGTGACGTTGAATATCGTTCACGTATCAAACAACTTGAGTACTTGACCTCGACCAACGAGAAACTTTCCGAAAGATCGTTGCAAACATAAGGGTTCTAGGTTGTTGGCAACGCGATATTCCTCATCGCATCCTCCCAACGTTTTTTATCAAATTAATGATGTTCTTTCCAATGAACTCAACATCTGAATTCAAAGCAAGAAGGCAAAAGTTACGCCTGTTTCGTTTGAATAGATTTTTCCTATATATATTATTTTATTTTTAGTTTGTTATATTTTTATTTTTGTTTGGAATTCTTTACATATTTCCTTTTTTAAAATTTGCACCACGTTATTCTACCTCTTACAGTATTGATAGTAGCACTAATTTTTAACGAAAACAAATACGCAAAAAATGTGTTTTTTTTCTTGCAGGATAGATTTTATTTTTGGTGTTAGCTATTGATTTCCAAAGGATTTCTTTAACTATCTTTTTCTTTTTTATTTCCAATGACCAGTGAAGTCATCTGAGGGCGGCATAGTTTTTAGTTTTCTTATTTGTATTACTTTCGATTCTTGCATAGTTTCTATGTAGTACATTCTGTGTTCATTCTAAATATTAAAAAATAAAAATAAAATAAGTAATACAAATTAAATAATTTATTATCTATTATAGTGATACAAACCGGTTCCGTACGTGTTTGAACAATTTCTTTACTGGATACCGAATTAAATCAGTGAATAATTTAAATTTTAATAATTTTTTCTGATGACAGTTAATTTTTTATTTAGTTTACTGTGGCAATTGGCTACACAAATTTTATGTATCATAAAATATATTTAGCCATCAGCAACTCTCATTTTGTTATAGAATAAATAAATTTCAATCAAAAATATTGACGATGAGAGACTGGTCATGATATTTCAGTACTTTCATCTATTTTGGTGTACGAATAATATGATCTGATTTTTGTAAATGTACCATATGTACCATTAATGTCTTTGCTTTCTCAAAGAGATTTTTAGCGCCATAATTGTCTTAATATAGTATTATTTAAATTATGATTCGATTACGAACTTTTTAATTTGAAAAATAATGTTAATATAAGAACAGTACATTAAGATAATAAAAATAATGATAAAAATTATATATTTTCTTGCAAGATTCTATTATTTTATTTTGCAGTTGCTAGTCAAGAATTTAATAACTGAAATAGAATTCTCTCACATTAAAAAGTTTCAAAATAAGTATTATTTATCCCCTGCCATTTACACAATAGTAAGTGTTTTATAGTATATCGTGAGTAAATTTTAAAAGCTTCGGAACTATTACTATTACACTTAAAATAATATTGAGATTACAAATAAATTAAAAGAAAGTTTTTCTCATTTTGAAAATGCAAATCTTTCCGAATTACTCAAATTTTCAAATCAGTCCATTATAGTATAATCAATAGTTAATTTTTACCGCAAAATTTCCTAGAAACGGATAAATAAAACATATAAAATTTGCTACCCAGTAGGTATGACTAATCGTGTAAATGGTGCCGATCAGGGGATAATATATAATAAATAATTTTGTGATCACGTTGTTCACCATTATTGATCAAACAATGGAACATCATCATTTAAATTATGATTTAATACAATAATAGAACAGTAAAATATTTTTAACAAATATAAATATATTAGTCCATAAAAAATTTCAAAAAAATCTTTCAAGTTGTAAAACTCTATATTACACAAAAAGAAAATATGTCTTCTTCTTCAGCTTCAACTTCAGCTTTTACACCTCCAAATATATTCTTTCAAGAACTTAACCACTTGTTAAAGTCAAATTTAATAACAAGAGATGAATATATTAGATTACAAGCTTATTATATCAAGTGCCCAGATGAGGTGTTTAGATCAGAGAGTGTTCTGCAAAATGCAGTAGATGATGAAGCAAAAGTCAAATGTCTCAAAAAATTATTAGCATATGGTATATTTTACATAATTGATATTATGTTTGGCTTCATTATTTCTGTGCTTTGAAATATTCACCAATAATACTAAATACTCACTAATCTCATTTTTTTCTTTCCTGCTTCTTTCATTACATTCACATTTTTATAGAACAACAACTTGCTACTGGTAAGTGAGTCATAATAAATTAGTCAACACAGTAAAAGTGGCTTGACTTAACCATTGTTTCATTTCATTTTCTATGTACTGTTATATTTACTAATAATACTGAGTACTTGCCAATCTCATTTTTTTTTCTTTCCTGTTTCTTATCATCACATTCACATTTTTATAGGACAACAAATTGCTACTGGTAAGTAAATTAGTCAATGCAGTAAATGTGGCTTGACTTATCTATTGTTTTATTTTATTTTCTGTACACTGTCATATTTACCAATAATAATCTCATTTTTTTCCTGCTCCTTACCATCACACTTCCATTTCATAGAACAAACTGTAACTGGTAAGTAAGTCATAAAAAATTAGTCAACACAATGAATGTGACTTGGCTTTCCCATTGCTTTACTTCATTTTCTTAAACATTTTCATTTTATGCAGGAAAACGTTTACGTCCACTTTCTCTTTATGAGCCAACAGGTTATATTTTTCCTAATATTACTGTTATTACAAAACAATTTCTTCATTTCTAATTTGTGATGTTATCCTTAGAATCTAACAAGATAAATAAAATCTCTTTTGAATCATTATTGGAGCTTGGAGACCATTTTTCAGCTGATGAAGAACCTGTCATATTTGTTCCCTTTATCCCACGCCTTAATATACAAGAAAGCATTTGTAACCATATATATACTAACATTTTTCTTGTATATGGTACAAATCGTAAGCAAGATTATCAGGGTATTATAATTTATGGTGGAAATGGTGTTGGAAAGACTCGTATAGGATTTGAAATTGAGAACTTTATTGCTGAAGATGACCGGATTCAAAGATGTGTAAAAACTTTCAAAGTAAACTTCAAACATATATTTATTAATATGAAAGAGATTTTAAATTTATTAGGAGAACAACAAAAACAGAATCCTGAAACAAATACATATCCTCGAATTCCCAAGGACATTGAAAAGGCAGTAAATATTCTTAATATGTGTATTGCAATATATTTTTTTGCAAAAGTGTGGACTAGATCAAGTATTGAGAAGTGTAAAGAATTGATATCTGAAATTATGAACTATGAGGAAATTATTAAATTAATTCGTAAAGAAATGAAACTGGATGAAGATGCCCTTTTAGTCGTAATTTTGCAAATTGATGAATTTCAATTCTCATCATATTGGACAACTACATTTCTTCGTATTATAGCTGATATTGTAGAGACCGATAATACGCTAATAATTACTGTATGTACTGGTACTGCACCATCCCAAATATCTTCTTTGGATATAATTTGTGCATCACAGTATCGTACTGCAAAATTAAATTTACCACCAATGAATTTAAGTGAATCTTCACAAACTTTTAATAAGTTTATTAGGTATTTTGATAATAACTATGATGCAGATTCACTTGTAGAAAATAATATTTATATTAGTATAGTGAATGCCATAAGGGGAATACCAATGATACTTGAAATCGCAACAAGAGTAATTTTAGATAAAAAATCAAATGTATTTGAAAGTTATGATGTGGCAAAACAATTTTGGGATTTATTGTGTAATCATGTAAAGATTAAATATTCCAAAGGACTATGGTTGGAGTGCTTAGGTGATGAAAATAATGTTATTTTATTATTATATTTTATACATACTCAATCTATCATTACCAAGAAAGACAAAATCTTTGGCTCTAAATATACAATCGAAGAATTTGAGATAGGTGGTCTTATTTATCTTGAAGAGTTTGATTATGATAATTACATTCCAAGAGCTCCATTGATTATAATATCCATATTAGTGGATTACTTAAATTTAAATAACATTTTTGATAAATTACTTTTAAGTCCTTTTACTTTATTAAATGAAGAATCATTTCCAAAATTTATGCTTCGTATGCATCAAGCCACATATGGCTTAGCAAATCTTCTTGGTATTTCCACAATTACTTTTACAGAAATTTATGGTGGGAATGGTATTTGCTCAAATAATTTCAGAAATAAAGAGATTCAAGTTAAAGAAATTGAGTACTATGAACATTCAGGATTGATACCTAAGGAAGAAGGTAAATATGATGAATTTTTTAAACCTGGACTAAAAGATAGAAAAAATATTCCAGTAGTATGTTCAGGTCCTCTAGGGTATAAAGAAATTGACATTACTTTAGGTAAGTATCTAGTTCTGATTGCACGAAGAACTCATTCAGTTGATGCATTAACACCACATGGTGATGAGCAATATAAGTATAGTTTAGCTTTAGAGTCTGGGCATCCAATCCATACAAATTCAACAGGAGAAATTGACATAAATATTCTTAAGAATGAAGCAAAAAAAACTTTAAGAGGATGTGAACGATTTATCCTTATTTCTCCAAAAACTTTCATAGGTAACAGAACAGAGATCCCAGAGAATTGTGCTGTTGTAGCTGGGGAGGATTTACTTGACTTTATTAGTCCTTATGCAATTCTCACTGGAAACATTGCAACCAATGTACAATTTTTATAACTTTTTTTCTTTCATCTCCCTTTTTTTGTTCTCCTTTTATTAAAAATATATATCATATTATATAATTGTTATTTTATTTTTTGAAATTATTATATTACAGTTGACAATTTATTAAATTCAAAAAAAAAAGCTTTAGTTTAACTTCTGCTATAATTAAATAAAATAAATTTCAAAAAACAACTTTAAATAAAATTTCAGTTAACTTTAATCTAGTTGTATAAAAAGTTTTTATTTATGTAATCTAAAGTAATTATAAAAAAATTCTTGATACAGCAATTATTTTTAGGTGATATATGTTACAAATAATTATATTTCCAATATCCCAGTAAATAGTTTTTGTATAAATTTATACCAAACAGGCTCATTGGCTTGAAATTAGATAATGGTGTAGTTAGCTGAAAAATTCAGCTGAAGGCGCAGTAAATTTTCGGCTAACAACACCCAGCCGAAAAAAATTCATATTAATCTTTGAATATTTTATTGGTTCAACATCTAACTATTTTTGGCTGAATATTTTCGGCTAAATACACTTTTTTTAAATAATAGTGTAGTTAGCCGAAATATCCAAATAGCAGTCAATATGAAATAATGACAAAATTTCATTTATTATAGAAAACAAGAAGTACATAACATTACTATTTACTATCTTATTTTTGAATAGTGCATTATTTTTAATTAAATAAAACTACAAAATATTTGTTATTTTTAACTTATTTATTTCTGTCCAATCATACTTCAATATTAGATTTTTAGTAATTTAATTGTAAAAAAGAAATTTTTTTAATATTTAATTGTTCTTTAAATTAATGAATAGTTTTATTTTACCATTAAAACTATAATAATACAATTATACAAATGAAATAAAAAAGAGAATTTTTTTTAATTATTTGAAAATATACATACATTTCTTTTTATTATACAATGGCGAAAAATATTTTTTGTTTTAATTTAAAGTCTTATATTATTCACTATCTTTGACAAATTTCAAGTTTTTGCATTATATTTATTTTAAATATACTAATTTTTAGCTAAGATCCAACTCAAAAAACAAAAAGCATTTGAAAAAATATTTCAATAAACACTTAGAGACTGAGATTATTTTGTATAAATAATTTTACCTGAAATTTTCAACTTAATCAATTTTAGGCCAGAATTAAGAAAATTTTGGCCAGAATTATGGATTCAAAAATCATTAATTTAGCCAATTAAACAAGTTTAGATTGATTTTAAACTTTACAAATGTTTATATATTTGAAGAGGGTACTATTGACCATAATAAAAGTGAATTAGGAGGTTACATGAGCAATGACTGCTATTTGGATATTTTGGCTGTTAGATGAAATTTACTGCGCCTTTGGCTGAATTTTTCGGCTAACTACACCATTATCTCTGAGAGTAGCTCTTTTAACAGTGGTGATAATATGTGTGGAGAGTTAACTGTACTTATTATAAATTGCAACATTGTATAAGTTGCAATTTATAATAAGTTTCTCAATTAATAATCAGGGTGTCTTTTTATGGATTTTTTTTAAGTGAGTCATTCTTGTGATTAAATATCAATATACTGGATGGAATAAAAACAAAACTGTCATCTGATATATTAATACAAGATATATAGTGTCAGGAAATAAATCAACACTAACCATTGTAAAATCCTGCAAAAATTTATCTTGTACTTTAATGCTACAAGAATCCTGAATGTCAAATTGAACATTAGTTTTTTTAGGCTCTGAAATCATTTTTTTATTTTCTCAAAAAGATCATTCATATTATTCATACTATAATTGTGTAATGTCTTAAGCTTCAATAATTATTCATCAACATAGTTATAGAGAAAATAATACAGATTTATAAAATATAAAAAAAAAATAAGAGATTTGCAGCTCAAAAGTGAATATAATCACCAGATAATGTTAGACAAAGATGGAGAAAATAGATAATGAGTAATAATATAAGAAAAATTCATGAGTTAATTTTTATACAACCAGTCCAACCATCATTACCCATTGCAAAACCACGTTTTGGATGGATTTAATCCATTTTTCCATTTTTAATAGAATTAAATATTTTTAAATTTTTTATGATAATGCTGTATTCGGTAATTATAAATTTAGTTATTTTTATACTAATTTCCAAATATTAATTCTTTTGTAAACTATTTCTGGTATTAATTGGAAGGTATGTTTTATTAATGAGATAGGGGTTGAACAAATGCTTAGCTTTGAACTGCTCATTTGGCTTAATGAGTTAAGAACTTTACACATATTTTTAATGGTTAACTGAAATTTCGCCCAATAAATCAGATTTAATAAAAACTTCAAAAATCAAATGATAAATCATTACTTACGTGGATTATGAAGTTTGTGAAAAAATAGGTCATTTTGAATATTCAGTATTCTATAAATATAAATTATAATTATTTTTAATTAGAAAAAAATTTGATAATCATGTGTCACGTGACAATTATTTGAACTGGTTGTTAACAAAAAAAAAGACAATTTCACAATTTTTAAACAATAAAAAATTTTTAAACAGGCTCTTATTAATTATTTCGCTTCTAAGTAATTGAATGTCTTGTTATTTGTTTATTAAATTTTATTAAGTAATTGGTCTTGTTATTATTTGTTTATTAAATTTAATAAAATGTAAATGAATTATAGTTTCATTATAAAAGTAATAAAATAGTAGTTTTAATCTATATTATTTAAGAAATAATAAAAATAGTTTTACTAATATTAGTTTATTGTAAAAGTAATTAATAAAATAGTTTTATTCTATTTTTTTTTCTAAGACAAAATGATGACTTTTCGTCAAAGGTCCATCAGGAGGAGAATATTTTTCCAATTGATAAACATTATAATTCTCTTCATAATACTTAATGAACTGAGTGAAGTTTATAGGTGGTAAATTAATATTGTTAGTTCTATATTGTGATGCAAAGAACCCATACAAATTTGAAATTTTAGATGGTTCAGTGCCAGTACATACTGAAAATATTAATGTCTTATTAGTTTCCACAATGTAAGATATGATGCGAAGTAATACGACTGTCCAATAAGGTGAGAACTGAAAATCATCAATTTGCAAAATTAAGACTAAATGGGCATCTTCATCCAGTTTCATTTCTTTACGAATTAATTTAATAATTTCCTTATAGTTCATAGTTTCAGATATTAATTCTTTACACTTCTCAATACTTGATCTAGTCCACACTTTTGCAAAAAAATATATTGCAATTAACATGATAAGAACATTTTCTGCTTTGTTGAAATCTTCAGGAATTTGAGGATATATTTTAGTTTCAGGATCCCGTTCTCGTTCTTCTCCAAGAAAATTTAAAATCTCTTTCATGCTAATAAAAATATGTTTGAAGGTTACTTTCAACTTTTTCACATATGTTTGAATCCGTTCATCTTTAGTAATAAAGTTCTTGATTTCAAATCCTATACGAGTCTTTCCAACACCACTACCACCAGAAAGATTAATACCCTGATAATCTTGAGTTCGGTTTGTTCCATATACAAGGAAGATATTTGAGCAAATCTGATCACAAATTTGCTTTTGTATGTCAGGATGAGGGACAAAGGAAATGAATAAAACAGGTGGTTTGTCAGCTGAAATGTGTTTTCTAAGCTTCAGCAAGGAATCAAAAGAAATTTTATTTCTCTTTGAATTTTGTGTTTCTAAAGACAAAAGATATTAGAAATTAGGAAATTGTTTAGTAATAACAGGAATATTGAAAAAAATTACCTGGCTCAGGAAATGAGAATGAATGTGAACGTTTTCCTGCATATAATAAAAATAATTAGCTAAATAGCAGTACTTATTGTATTGATAAATTTAAAAAAGAGAATGAATGTAACTGATCTACCTACCAAGACATATTTGTTCTTCTACAAAAATGTGAATGTAAAAAAGAAAAAAAATATGATTAGTGAGTATTTCATATTATTGATGAATCATGACAGAACATAGAATTAATATATTCAATTATGTGAAATATACCATCGTCTAAAAATCTTTTAAGATGTTCAATTTTAACACTATCAGGGCCATATTTTAATGATTCTTCTATGTTAGGTATCTGGTCGGAGAAATGGATAGAATAAGCCGTTAATCTAACATATTCATTAGTTGTTATTAATTTCAATGAGTGGAGGCGGGAAATTTCTTCATGGATAGTAATAAAAGAAGTTAAAGACATCTTATTGGTATATTTTGTGAATATTTTTTTCTTTTTTATCCATACTCGTGTATATATATATAATTGCCAATTACATGATGTGACCAATTATGACTCACTATTAAGTCTTAATTTTATAAGTTTCTCATAAGTATATATGACGTGCTTTGACATGCAAGTTATGATCGCAAATAATTATTACAAGGTTTAGAATATTTTAAAGCTTATACATGTTTCAAACATCATAAATTTCCCATTACTACAATAAATGATTTAATTTACGTTAATGTATTCACTTTGTATATAAATCTGACACCTCCAATTTTTCTTTATGCATATTGATATTATGATATAATAACAAGACATTATGTTATATGGCAATATATAAAATTTATGCTCACTATCTTCAATATTTTCATACGTATAATTTTATTTTGGTGCTTTTTTACTCTAAGTTTCATCAATTCTACTAGTTACTGCTTTATTATGGTTAGTCTTCATATAATTGCCACTAATCTCACTTCGTTGATTTATTTTCTTTAAGGCTATTAAATTCTATCTAATAATTTTATTGATAAAATCTTGACCATAGTAATTAGTCCATGTGATATTCTAGAACGTGCAGCACCTGATCAAATGTATCCGTTACTTTATATTAAAATTTACTATTGAAACATATGAAAAGACTTGTATTTTGAAATCATTATTAGTATTAATTAATAATTTGATGAAGTAGCTAATACAGATTTCTCATATTGAAACATGAATAATACTATTTCATATAATTTTACTAAAATTTTAAATTTAGTTTCGAAACAGTATAAATTTCATCAGGAGATATACAAAAACAGATGATCATCAAATTGGATCCATACTGTACAGTATCTTAAAATATTGTACGGTGGTATTTATACTGGTTAACGTCACGAAGTGACGTTAACCAATATAAATACGACACCGTACAATATCCATAAAGCATTATTCATAATGTGATCGAAAAAAAATATGGTCAATTATAATATAGTTTGTTATCTAATGCTACATTTATATTTTTATTGTCATAATGCTGGCAAAATTCATGGCTTCACATTATTTTAAAATGTCAGGTCTTAAATTAAATATAATTTATGGAACTCATTAATCGTCATTCCAATAATAATTTGGAAACATGGACAAATACACAAAATATAATATATGAAACAAATATCAAGATAAATGAATTTTAATTTAACTTTTGTGATTTTCAAAATAAAATTAGTTATTATGTTGTATTTATTAATATTTAATTCTATTAATCAGAAAAAAAAAAATTCTATCTAAGTATAACTAACTCAGTAACTCTGATCAAAAAAATTAAGTTTAACCATCTATTTCTCATATACTTAATTAAAAGTTTTACATCTGAGTATATTTTTATTTTTATTTAAAATTTTCTCAATAAACTTAGAAAATTTCTTGTAATTGTAATTGAGTATTTGCTCTCTATATAAAATACTCTCCTCTAATATCAAAATTTGTCAATATAATATATTTGAACTTATTTATAAATAATGCATAAATATAATTTTTAATTTATTAGATATTCTTTAGTAAATAAAAATGAAATTACACATTTTTTTTTATTTGTTCTACTTAATATATTGGCTTAAAAATTATTGTTTTTGTTAGAATTTTACATTGACTGCTTATCAATACATCATACCTCATAATACTTATATTCCATTAATGTACAATAAAAATAAAAAATTCCGTTAAAAATATTTCTTAAAGAAATGCTGTAATCCCCTTTAATACTTACAATCCAGTAATATTCCACCTTTAAATTGTTTTCTAAAAAAAAAACTAATTTTTTAGAGAAAGCTATTCTTCATTTACTCCTCTTGATTTTACTTTCCTTCAAAATTACATTTCACATTAAATGATGATACCAACGTAAAAATTGGGTATTTGGCTACAATCGTAGCATTGACATATTAGAGTACCAGAGATCTATATTGTGAAAATCGTGATAATAGTAACTAAGGTTACCTTTGGTACCAAGGCGGTAATGGTAGCGAGATAATTTCTTTCTGTTTTTCTTTTAACAACGCGCCCAATTCTTTAAAGTTTTACGATCGTGATTCCATCCATCATGGTGGTTCGTGATGTAGCCTAAATATTTCTCCGGTAGGTACTAGGATGTATAGGCCGCAAGTTAGTTATTCCAAACTAAAGACAGAATAAAAATATACTATAATCGAAGGTGTTAAATTTTAATAGTAAACTGTTGTCTATGTTAGAAAACTCTTTCAAATGGTACGATATGTTTTTATTGTTAAATAAACGTCCAACGACCACGAAAAATTTTGTTCCAAAAATTTATGGGAAAGGGTTCTCTCTCTTTTTTTCTTTTAATGTTGTTCTTTAAAAAGTTTAATTTATTATATACTTTAATCATAATAACTCGTGAATTACTTGTTTCTTATCATCCAAATTCCTAATTTTCTTCATCATTTGGATATTAGTAGTCAATGATGGATAACAAATGTTAAAAAAGTAATTGCGGCATTGTACTCAAATCTGAGCTTGATGAATATGATGACACAGTGGTACAGTACTCACATTCTGTCTTTATTTAGATTAACTACACATGATGTTCAAGATTTTGCAAGTCAATCATGGATGAATTTCGCCTTAAAATTTGAAAATTGCAATGGTATTAATGAAATTTAACCAAAGTTTTATTCGTTTTTTTTTATTAAATTACAAGTTATAGCGTAACAAAGAACTGATTACAAACTTCAAATTTGTGTACAATTTTTAAAGTCATACAAGATTGAATTATAAATAAATTTGCTAAAAAAAATATATTGTCCCGAAGTTCAAAAAGAAAAATAATATTTTTTTAACAATTGTTGCGTTATTAAATTTATTTATTATATAATATATAAATCTGTTAGCGACCAAATCAAACCATGTCCCAAACCTTACCATCGGCCTAAATTAGGAGATCAGTACAATCTTAAGGCATTATTAGATAAGAAAATCACGTGGATTTTATATGACTTGACGCAGCAATTTACGCAGAAAGCCCATACAATACTTAATATTTTCCCAGTGTATTTTTTTTTTAAAAAAAAAAAAATAATAAATTCATTCAAATGATCCTTATGATCCATATTCGGATAATATTAATGCCTATCCTCCTCTTGGGATGAAAATTTTAAAAAGATTTCATTTTAAACAATATTTTTTTTAATATATTTTTTTTTTTAAAACCCGAAATTTTTTTTTTTAAACTGATTTTTTTTCCTTTAAACCGATTTTTTTAAAAAAAAAACTAAAAAAACTGATTTTCTTTTCTTTATCCAGATTTTTTTTTTATTTTTTTTTTTCGGGTTTTAATTTTTTTCCCTTTATAACTCGATTTTTTTAATAATTCTTTTCTTAGTTATTTTTTTAGTAATATTTTCTTTTTAATAGAATTAATAATTTTTTCATATAATTAGTATAATTAATAGTTTTTATTTTTCACTCATTATAATCTACACTAAATTAATATTATGTAATAACTAATTTTCTAAATATAATTAAACTCATTAATCCTGTTGCTATAACTTATCTGTGGGATTCGGCATCCAACTTCGGAGCCGATTTCCCTACAATAATATAAAAAAAAAATAATAGATTTATCATGTTTGATCATTGATCGGGTTTGAGTCAATGATTGAGCACAAAGAATGAAATAAAAATGCTCACATATTTCCTACTACTTTTTATGCTGTCTTTATAAAATTATAAGTACAAAATTTTGAAATTTTTCCTTTTCAATATAAAATTGTATTATAAGACTTATTAATCAGAAAAAGAATATAGAAGGGTATATAATTACAGTATATGGAAGGATATTGAAGAAATCCATAAATGGAGATTTATTGAAGAAGCATTATAAGCATTATACAAGAAAAACCCAAATAACTGAAGGAGATTTGTGAGAACACAAATTTTGAACCACGATATCTGAATATATACATTACTTGTAGAATTTCCAGAGTCACTATAATAATAAACACCATTAATTGATATCAATATATTTCCTGTATGAGAATCACAATGAACTACTTTATTTCATGAATTCTCTAAGACCATTAACAATTTCACTTAGTAATTCCAATTTTTCAATCCAATGATAATTCATAATAATATTATTATTGTAATTATTAATATTTCCACTATTTGCATATTCAAGTACAATAAATCTGGATTTTGGGATATCCCGTATATCCTGAGAATTCCATTATTATTAGAGTCATTAATAGAGTATGCTTTGCAAAAATTCCTAATTTTTGTATTAGCATTTTAATATTCTAGATTTATTAAAAACTAATAATATAATAGTCTATTAAAAAGCATAATAAAAAAAGCTGTTATATAAATTACAAATATAGGCTTAAAATAGGTCATGATAAGGGTCTATAATCGTCTAATAATATTTTCTAATATTTTCTAAATTAAGACTTTTCAGATAAAATAAAGTACATTTATTATATCGAGCTTAATACTCTTTACAAATAATTTGAATTGTGTAACATGGAAATGCTTGATATGTCTGCGCCTGATTTATTCCATGTTTATTATAGTTAAAATAATTCCTAAATCGGATTTTTTTAATAATACTGACAAAAAAAATTTAGTTTCTTAATCATATTTCATTTGGAAGAATGTTGATTTTAATCTTTTTTTTTTATTTTGGCTTGTTTTTTTAGAACTGAAATATTTTTTCAAATTTATTTTTATTTCAGTTTTTTTTTTGACACGATTTTTTTTTTAATATTTTTTTTTAGCTTTTAATTTTCTTTTCATATCAGATATAGTAATATAAATTATTTAATAATATAGGGAGTAAGTTACTTATTTAATTATTTTATTATTACTTATTGTTATAATAATATATTTACATATAATTTAAACTAACTAAATTTTCACTTAAAAATTATTTAATAATATAGAGAGTAAGTTATTTATTTAATTCTATTATTACTTATTTATATGATATTTACACATAATTTAAACTAACTAAATTCTTTATTTTTAAATAGATTGTATGTTATAAGTTATTTATTTAATTCTATTATTACTTATTTACAATATTTCTGTATAATTTAAACATTCCGCATGATTAATTTTTTTCGTATACATTTCGTATACATTAGTTTTTTTAAAAAATGTTCAAAAATGAATTGCTTATTAAATATACGGAATTTATATACGGAATCTATAGAAACGTACATAAAATGTATACAAAACGTATCCTTTCCGTATACATATTTCTTATAGGGCTTCTATAGCGATGTTTAGTTCTTGAAAATTTTACATTGTTACAGGGTATTGGATTATTGGTATAACTATTTTTAGGTTTTTCGAAAAAGATAAGGTTATAACCCTAAATTATCGCTTACGATTCATTTATATTTTCGGGATTTGGAATGGATCGTTTTAGTATTTTTCTTTATCCCACGACCAATCGTTTCATGTTTTCATTATATATTCTTCACACTTATCACTTTCATAGCTTTAATTGTTGGAATGTTACTTTTGTATTATTTTATCGACCGCATCTAAAAGAGAAAAGTGGAAAACGGTGGATTTATGAATATAGTACATAAGCAAGAATTTTTCTTTTAATGATTACCTTAATATGGTCCATCCATAACCTTTATCCCGGTGAATGTTTAATAACTTTTATAATTCACGTCGTGTTACAGAAAATTACTTGACATACATTAAGGCATATTATAAACAATCCATCCTTGCTAGGACAGTGACATAAATTAGCTAATATTTTAGGGTGGAAATACGCAAAAATCTTCGATTACACAATTGTAAAGAAATGATTGGTTGCACACGATTACAAAATCGTACTAAGATTTTATAATATGTATACATATCGCTTATAATAAAATAATACTAGCTAATATATGCCACTACCCTTATTTAATTATTTTATTACATTTGAAAAAAATTTAGTAAAACATATACAGATGGGAAAAGGTCTTAATTAAGCGTTTCCGAAGATGAAACATTACTGGAATATTACTACTAATTATTTTTCCTTTTTTTTAAGGTATTGAAAAGGGATGATTCTTGGGCATTGGACGTTTTTCGGAGACAAAATTCCGCTAATTTCGGAAAACAGAATTCATTTTGTAGGAACATACGCGGAAGTAATAATAAGTTTAGATGAATTCTATTTATATACAAGCTTCTTTTTTTAATCAACAAAAAAGAATTTTTTTTTTTTTCTTAATTGACAAAAAAGAAATCATTTTTTCTTTTTTGAATCGACAAAAAGAATAAAAAATAATATTAATCGACCTTTTAATTTGAAACACTTGTATGCACAAACAAAAATATTCCTTTTTAGGAATGATATGATTTGAATCCTACGATCTTTATCAAATTGACTATAGTTTATATAGGTAGACAAATAAATTATGTCCATTTTGGTTTTAATATAAACACCTGACATTCAAGTGTAACGTTAAAATCCACGTGATTGAAAAAAGGTTTAAAATCTCGAATTTTTTCATTTTTGTAAATTATTTTTTCTTTTAAAAAAAAAGTATCGTTCATTTTTACTGATTAAGATGGCCGACATAAATGATAATATTAGTATTTATGAAAACAGTGGCGATAGTCAAGAAGTTATAAGATCGATTTCGTCAATAAGTTCAGAACCTTCCATAACACCACGAAATAATTCGTTATTAGGTGTATTTTATGGTATTGGAATGAATGTAAATAATATGATTGGAGCGGGTATCGTTTCTACACCAGGAACTGTTTGGAATGCGGTAAAATCCCCTGGAATAGTATTATCATTATGGTTAATCGGTGGAATAATAAGTATGGCAGGTTCACTAACATATGTTGAACTTGGAGCCATTCATAAAATAAGCGGAGGTGAAACGAAATATTTACAAACAGCTTATCCAAACCCAAAACTTTTAATGAGTTATCTTTTCAGTTTTATGTTTGTCCTGTAAATATGAAAATTCCTTTCTCAAAGTCTGGTTAAGAATCTTTCATAAATTAAATTCTTCTCTTTTTTTTAGTGTAATTAAACCAGGGCTTTTATGCGCCATTTTACAAATTGGTGCGCAGTATTTTTGGTATACTATAACAGGAGAAACATATATACAAACATATGTACGTGAATCAAATAAAACATTATCTGATGATGATATACCTGAACTACATTCAATTGGATGGAATCTTCCTTTTTCTCCATTTTGGTAAGAAAAATTTTTATTATTAACGTGTTGCTTGATTAATTAAGGATAAGGACACGTATAATAATTATTCATCTTAAATGATGACAGCAATTAAAATTTAAAAATTTATTTTTCTAGGCTCGTAACATTTTTGGCAATCCTACTGTTATTTGTCATAACAGTTTATCATATGCTTAGTAACAAATGGGCAGCAATTATAAATCAGGGTCTTGCTATTATAAAATTGACTACGTATTCAATAATCGCTATAGCTGGATTTTATGGATTATGCAAAAATAAAGAAATTAGTAGTGATAATTGGAAAACGCAGTTAAATGGAAATACAGACATTGCAGAATATTCATCAACTATTTTATTGGTAATTATTATAAGATAAACCGTATAACGCTGCTTATAATACACTAACGAAGTATTTGTAAGATACTTTGAATATTCATTAAATGTCGAATATTAGAGAATTGTGTCTTATATAATACTTTCAACATATCCGTGTCTTATGATGTGAAAATATTATAAAAGGAATATTGTAAACAGTGCTACACGATTATTATTATTTTCTACATGTCTTCGCTACGTTCTCAAAAAAGCAATTTTTAAAAAATCTTTTCCTCATTGCTATCAATTTTTTTAACAGATTATGTTCACATATAATGGATGGAATAACTTGAATTGTATGTCATGTTTATAAATATAAAACTTTTTTTTTCATTTAAAGATTAATAGTATTATTATATATATATATATATTAACAGATAATTTAATCTGATTTTTTCTGCTTTATAGATTCTTTGGATGAGTTCAGGAACCCGGAAAAGAAACTGATTCTCAGCAATAGTATTAGTGTCGCAATTGTTACAGTAATGTGTACGTAAAATGTGAATTTTGATGAACTTTTGACATAAAATATTTGCTTTTATGAAAAGCTTACCAACTATCCCTTAAATGGCGTTGCTAGACCATCTAAGGGATAATATCAATATCGGCAACCTAAATTATGTGTATGTTTTTTTATATATATATAGATTTCCTTGTAAATGTTGCATTTATCTCGGTCGTACCAAAAGAAAAATTAGCAAGCAAAGATAAGATAGATAATCATGAAACCATAGCTGCAGAATTTTTTAATCAATTATTCGGAAATCAATTTACTAGAATTTTTACTTTCCTGGTTTTACTTTCTATAATGGGTACCGCTGCAGTAGAAGTATGGAGTGGATCGAGAGTTATTGTCGCAGCGGCAAATTCAGATTTTTTCCCAAAATATTCACAAAAATTAAAAAACTGGAATGAACGTTTTAATACACCTATCAATGCTTTATTAGCACAATTCGTTTGGTGTTCATTTCTTATGATATTCGTTGGTGGTAGTTTTTCAATTTCAAATTTTAAATTATTTTCAAATCTTGCCAGTTACAGTTATTGGATATTTTATCTTGCTACTGGTATAGGTTTGTTGGTGCGTATAAATAATTATTTATTTATTTTTATTAAACCGAATAATTTATATATATGTATATTCTTTTTTTAGTTGATTCGAAGGAGAAGTGAAAATAACGAAAAAAAATTTTTTAAAGTGCCATTACCAGTAGTAGGAATTTTTATTCTAGGAGGAGTGCTTATATTAACATTCTCTTTTATTGTCGACGATGCTTTGCAATTATCACCAATATTTCTTAGTTATGGTTTCTTATTTATCGCATTAATATCTTGGTATTTCTTTTATTATTGGTGGGATACTAAGAAGAAGCAAAGGGAATCCGCTATTATGGGAATAGCTGCCAATCAATGATGGTATGGATAATGAAATCAATTAATTCGTTTAATTAAATTATTTTATTTTATTTGTTTATTAATTATTATAAATATAATATTTATTTTATATAAATATACAACAAAGAAATTTCCCATTTATTATAGACTAACTTCATTATTACATAGCATTGCAATCTAAATTTCCCATTTATTATAGACTAACTTCATTATTACATAACAATGCAATCTAAATTTCCATTTATTATAGACTAACTTCATTATTACATAGCAATGCAATCTAAATTTCCCACTTCACAAATAAATTTTACAATTAAACTTACAATATATTTTACAATAATTTGTTATAATTAATATTAAATATACATGTTAATAAATTAATATTACAATTAATGTTATACTGGCTATTGTAAGATGTCCTACAAGACCAATAACGAGTATCTTATGATGGAAAAAGTCACTATTAATTATATTTATTTAATACTTATTAAAGTGAAACGTTTGCCCTATAAAAAAAGAAAATTCGGAATTTGTCCTGAAAAGTATGGAAAATGTCCGGAAATTTTCCGTGCGTCCGGAAAACATTCGGAAACGGTCATGTTTTGGAACACTTTCCGGACACACAAATTCCAGACATTTTCTTGACACTCCAGAATTTGTCCAGAATTTGTCCAGAATCGAGCGTCCGGAAAATGTTCCAAAACATGACCGTTTCCGNACAAATTCCAGACATTTTCTTGACACTCCAGAATTTGTCCAGAATTTGTCCAGAATCGAGCGTCCGGAAAATGTTCCAAAACATGACCGTTTCCGAATGTTTTCCGGACGCACGGAAAATTTCCGGACATTTTCCATACTTTTCAGGACAAATTCCGAATTTTCTTTTTTTATAGGGTTGAAGCACAAAAATGAATATTACCCATATCTGTTTGTATATTTATTTGTTTGAAAGTTATATCTTTGTATAAATTACAATTAATAAATGATGCTTTAAATATTACGCTTTTAACTACACCTTTGATACAAATGTTTACTCACTTTTAATCACGAAAGATCATTTCTCTATTAGCTACTAAAACAATTTAAAATGAACGAAATATGTGAAATTGTACCATCACAAAAAGAAAATAATAAGATAAACTTTCGTGGTTATTTATCGGTGTTGTGAGAAAAGAGATCTAGAAAATTGTAGAGGTTAAGTAATAATACTACTTAACATCATCACTCACTTCAGGCTAGTAACGCAAAAGTTGCAAAAATTATTATCCAAATCAAGCAGAAGGCTCATACAACGAGAGATAAACCTGCATGAATTATTCAAGATATTATAATTAGGATATACTATCCCATCTCTTAATTTTCTTCGTTCAAAGATTAAATGTGTTAGAAGATCAGAGATGCCCAAACTCTTGAAAAAATTAATATTCCAGATTTTCTTCAGTTTACTTCAAAATAATGGAGATTCAATTTTAGTGAGAGATTTTGTAGTTAGTGAAGATCGAATTTTGCTATTTACTACACAGGGAAGTATTCAACATTTGTCTTAAGCTCCATTTTGGATGATGGATAGGATGTTTGAAATGGTTCCAGTGATATTTTGTCAGCTATATACAATCCATGTATCTGTTGGCGGAGATAATTCAAGAATTCTCCCTCTTGTTCTATTGTTATATATTTTTATAAATATTTATTTGTTAATTGAATTCATCATATAAAATTTCTTTTAATTTAGTTGGTAAGTTGTAAATTATAAATTATTATTGTATATTTATACAAAAACTAAGATATATATTATATTAAATTTCTATTTAAATTTTAGAGTAAGTGTTGATTTCAATCTTAAATTATAGTGTAATTTTTATTATAAAATTTTTTAATAATTTTAATTATTTAAATTATAGATTTGGAAAAAGTGGAAATACAATTATGGATAATTTTATTTTTGAAAAAAAATTAAAATGGTTTCCTTATAATAAATTTAAAAATGTTGAATATCTTGATAAAGGAGGATTTGGTACTATATATACAAGGCTATTTGGTTTTATAATAATAAAGATGATGAAGTAATTCTTAAACTTCATAATAATTTAAATGAAAATTTAAATGAATTTCTAAATGAAGTATGATAAAATGTTATTTATTTTTTTAATTTAAATTATAATTTATTTACATTAATATATTATTATTATTTTATAGTGGAAATATCATGAAAGTTGTCCAAGAAATTCATATGATATTATTCATTTTTATGGGTTTACAAAAGATCCAGATACTTTGAAATATATGGTGGTAATGAATTATGCAAACAATGGTAATTTAAGAGAAAACTTAATAAGAATAATCAAAAGTGATTGGAAACAAAAATTATACAGTCGACCCCCTATATAGTCACCCCCTGTATAATCACAACATATAAAATTCCCCTTTATAAGCACACCATATTTTGGCCCAATGTACTAATAAATATATTAGAAAAACCTCCTCTATAGTCACAACATATGACTTTTTTTATAATCACACCCTTTTTTTTCGGTCCCAAGGGGTGTGACTATAAAGGGGGCTGACTGTATATGTTATTTGAAATTATTTCTGGACTTAAAGATATGCATAAACAAGAGCTTATTCATTGTGATTTTCATGATGGTAATATTTTATGTGGTAATATGAGTAAAATATATATTAATGATTTAGGATTATGTAAACCTGCAAAATCATTTTTGAAAAAATATGATATTTATGCATGGTGTTATGCCATTTATGGCCCCTGAAGTTTTAAGGGGCAATTCTTATACTCCAGCTAGCGATATATATAGTTTTTCTATGATTATGTGGGAATTTACATCTGGGATACCACCATTTAATAATAGATCACATGATATTCAACTTTGTTTAAGTATTTGTGAAGGTGAACGTCCTGAAATTATTGAAAATACTCCACAATGTTATGTAGAATTGATGAAAAAGTGTTGGGATGAAAACCCATTAAAAAGGCCATCTTCTAAAGAAGTGTTAAATATTATTGATAAATGGATTGATACTCCATGTAAAATTAATAAAGAATTAAAATACAATATTATGGAATTTATAAATGCACCAATTGGGCATAACAATAATCTTGCTGCCAGATCTCATTCACAGGCATATTATACAAGTCGCTTATTTGATTTTACTAGTAAACAATTGAATAAAATTCTTGAAAGTAGAGATTTACAAAGTCAATCTACTAGTGGAAAAGTGAATGAAATTCTTAAAAATGAAGATTCACAAGCTAGTGTAAAAGTGAATGAAACACTAGTAAGTGAAGATTTGAATGATTGTATAATTGAAGATATAAAATCATTAGGTATGTAATACAGTATATAAAAAGAATTAATTTTGTAAATTATTTATATGAAATTAATTTTATTTATTTAATTATTTAGATTTATATGAAATTAATTTCATTTATCTAATTATTTAGATTTATATGAAATTAATTTTATTTATTTAATTATTTAGATTTATACGAAATTAATTTTATTTATTTAATTATTTAGATATTAAAACAGATAAAAAATAACTAATTATTTGTGTTTTTATAAGAATTTATAGTTTTTTTAAGTGGTATTTGATGTCATACATTTAACAGAAATTGTTGTTAGATTTATTTAAACACTAAGGCTAGAGTATAGTAAAATATTTTACAAGATTCTTAGTTTGTAATTTAAATAATTCCTTATTATATTTTATCCATATATGTGTATGTATTCTCTTTTTTTCAGAATTATTTAAACACTAAGGCTAGAGTAGTAAATATTTTACAAATTTCTTAGTTTGTAATTTAAATAAATCTTTTTAATTAACTTTTCCAATTATTAAATATAAATTATCAAAATAATAATATAAGTATACTCATTTCAATGGCTGATTGTATTTAATTTATATTGTTGACTTTTATTTTTAATATTATTTAAATTTTAAAATCTGCAAAAATATTCTCTATTTTTTTAATAAATTATTAAGACAAGACATTACAACTAGGAATCACACTGCTCAGTTTTTTCATGCAAACTGAGAAACTTAAACTCAGTTTGTAAAGGTTTATATATTAAATTAATAAAATTTACAAATGTTATTAATTGTGCTTGTATAGCAAGAACGTGATCGATGTATTCTGATCGTATCCTTAGATAATCCAAGAGAAATTATTATATAATTTGCCAACAATTAAGTAGTATACTGGTATTCTTACGTAAAATTATTATTATTTTTTATCTTGATGAATTATTTTTAATAAACTAATTAAATAAGTATATAAACTGAACAAAATTATGAATTATATCGCTCTTTAATACAATAAATATCCTTTTGTATTTCAATATGACATCATTTTTTACGGTGTTATAACGTCACGAAGTAACGTTCGTACAGCTAATGCAGATCATGCTTTACATTAGAGCTATTGTATTTATTTATTAATAGACTTTTTCTTTCTTTTAATAAAATTAATTTCAAAATTACTGCCCTAGAATTACTAAGAATACTAGTAATTTAATTGATTTAGTTGATTTGATTCTTTACAACGAATTTTGCATCTATTATCATTTCAATATTGTACACAAATAAAATATTGATATTCAATATTGTACGATGATTAACTATCGATGGCATCCTATAGGCTATAGGGCCGTACGATAATATTATTTAATCATGCAGTACATACTGTATTTCTTATTTCTAATTATTTATTACTAATTCAATTATTCACATTATCTTAAACGTAATGTTTTATTATGGAGTAAAAAAAAAATTATTATTAATAAACCTAATTTAGTAATCAATCCATACAAAAAGATAGTTAAAATTAGACAAGTGGAATTTTATAAAATTTGAATATATATAAGATTATAATATAAAATATAAATTAAATTTAATAATAAACGAAAAAAATGCATGTTACTGATTTGGCATGACGTTAATACATGTTCCTGTCTTTTAATAAAACGGAATTGTACAAATATAAGTAATTTTTATTTAATTAGTTATTTAAATAGTTGCACCAAAACAAATTATGCACAAGATTATTAGAGTTATTACATTTAGTAAATAAATGAATATGAAGTAAAAAAATCTTAGGAATACAATATGCTTTAAATTTTACAATTATTTTTAGTATTTTTACATAAAATAATAAATGAAGCTTGATCCTTTTGATCCGACACCAAAGTTAAGATTTAGTCCCGTGCCAATTTCGTTTGTTTCATTTAACGAGTACGATAAGAATGTTTTCGTTGTGGTGATACATATACTGATACGCCTACTTGAAATTGATTTACTGACAAGATAAAAAATATTGACAAATAGTTTTGCCCAAATACATTATTTAATTCTATTTATAGTATGTTTAATAATAATAGAGCAGAAATTTTGATGGAATGGATACCATATTCTGGAATAGCAAAGGGAGGATTTGGTATCATATATCAAAGCGACTTGGTCTGATGGTTCAATAAATATTAATAAACCCATTATACAAAATTAAGAGAGAAGAAATAATGAAATTATCATATTAAAAAATTTTAAACGATTCTCAAGATTTTTTGATATGCATCAGGAGGAAATTTACATAATTTTTTACGAGAGAAATTTACAGAAATTACATAGCCCTATGAAAAAAGTCTGTGTGATTTTTGTTGAAAAATCATTCAATTAAATTCACTACGATTTCTGTATATTTGACCATACAATAATTGTGCTAAAAATTGCAATAAATCACACAATTATTGCATGGTAATTTATTCAATAATTATCCTATTTTTGACCTGAATTTATACAATTATTGTGTGATTTTTGAGCCAAATTTTAGGCCATATTTTAGGAATTATAGGTTAAATTTTACAGTAATAACAGGCAATTTATAAAGTGAAATTATGAATTTTTTTATTGACTTAAAATATAAAAAATATACACAATATTTCATAAATAAAATACTAAATTTGATATAATCATAAATATAAAAATTTGTAAGAAAATAAAATAAAATAAAGTATGTTAATAACATGAAAGTAAATTAGTAGTGTCATCAAAGAAGAAAGTAAATTATTAGTGTAAGTAAATTATTAGTATTAAATAAAAAAGTATGAAGTTAGTGAAGAAAGCAAATTAGTAGTGTTAAAAAGTAAATTATTAGTGTTAGTAATAAAAAAGTATGAAGTTAGTGAAGAAAGCAAATTAGTAGTGTTAAAAAGTAAATTATTAGTATTAGTAATAAAAAAAAAGTATGAAGTTAGTGAAGAAAGCAAGTTAGTAACATTAAAATGTAAAAAGTTAGGAAAATAAAAAGATAAAGAATACAAGTTTTTCTTACCTGCTGATATTTTAAAAGAAAGTTGAAGAAAAGTTAAAAGGTTAAAAAACAAACAAAAACATTTCACGTCATCATATTTATTTTGACGATCAGATCATGTGACCAACATATATAATTTTAAGATTTGATTTTTACCGCATAATTCTGGCCAAATTATAATTCCGGTCAGAACTAATTGTGTAACCTAATAAAAAGTTTTTGACTTTTTTTTAGTTACAAGATGATACAAAAATTTCACCAATGGGTCCGGAAGATTCCCATTTATAAGCAAATATGCGGTTGAATTTTGTGTAACCTTACTGCATAAATCACTTTACTTAGGAAAATCTATTTGTAATGGTTAAAAGTGGTCTATTCGACCCTAAAAGTGGTCAAATGTAACCATACAGGTAAGATGGAAAGTAGTATAATAGGATTACCCAAAAATTGCTTTCTGTATCCTAAATTTAAGTCTATTTTCAAGTTGTACAATAATCACAATTTTTATTGTATAAAAATTGAATGTTTTCTGTATCCTGAATTTAAGTTGTATAAAAATCACACAAAAATTGAACATTTTCTATATCCTAAATTTAAGTTGTACAAAAATTGCATACTTTTAATATGCTTTGAAAAACTTCATAACTATTTTTATCCAAAAATCTGCAATAATTGTACAATTTCCACACGGACTTGAACAAATATTGTACAAAAATTGGATGATTTTTTTTCATAGGGTAGAGTAAACAAAAAAAAAAGTATTTTATAATTATATGTATATTATTATGTTTATTAGGCTCGAAACTATACATAATACAAAATTTATACATCGAGATTTTCATTGTTAATTAATTTGTCATGTGATAAAGCACATCAATAGCAAATTGGAAACTTAGGATTATCTTCAGCCTGTAAATAATGAAATACATAGAGTGATTTCTTATATTGCACCAGAAATATATAAAGGATCTACATTTTCCAAAGAATCTGATGTTTATATTGTGCAGGCATGATTATGTGGAAAGTTACGACAGGTTGTAAACCTTTTGCTAATGTTGAATATGATACGAGAGCGACTTGAAATTACGGAAGATACATCAGAATGTTACGCTAATTTAATGAAATGAAAAGATGTTGGAATGTTGATCCAGAAAAAAGACTTCCTATAACAGAAATTCGTAAGATTTTCTATAAATGGTATTATGGAAATAAGAATTTAAAAAAGCCGAAATAAAAAGAAACTTGGTCCCGAGTTTAGTGAAACCTCGCATCCAAATGCTATTTTTACAAGTAGACAATTAAGATCTTTATTTCCAAATGTACATCCATTAATTCTTCAAAAGGTATAATCACGTGTCTTATTTCATCACTCCCATCCGTTTTATATGCAAAGTCACGCACATGTGCGTCATACTTAATTTCAGTCAAATTACGTACGTAATGCCAGCCATTTCATGACATTTTTTACTATAATATTGAACAACAGATATTTGTAATTATACGTGCTACCTAATAACTATGTTTTGGTATATGGACTCAATTTATTATTATCCAATCTCTTAATAAACTTTAGTATCGTATAACGTATATGAAGAATGCAAAATCAAATTATATATATTAAGAATATTTATTCTATTAACTTGGAATTTTTTTTCCAGATTCATATCTCATCGGACTGTGAGATCAATCTTTGGCTAAATTGATCTAATAATTTTAATATGGTTTCCCTATTTTTAAATTAAAAATATGAATAAATTAATAAACATAATATTGAAAACCTGATTGGTATTTAAAGTTTAACATTTTACATATGTAATATTTAATCGTCTAACATACGAAAATTTTTATTAAGATATATTAAAACTTCTGATGTAATATTGATAATGCGTTAGACAATGTTAGTGCACATTACATTTTTTGGTGTACATTTAGATTAAAATTATTTGATTCAGTAGCTAAATGTATAAATTATCGTTCATACTACATACTGATACTCAAATTAGAGGAGGATCCAACCCTATTGTAGGAAATGACCTTACAAACGCGGACATGACATCTTTGAGAAAGAAACGAATTATCTTCATGGACCAGATTTGCTCCATTGACGGCAATTTCTTAAAATCTTGGAACGAAATTAAATCCACTCCTGGGAACAACTTCAAAGGAAAATCTCCTGGACGGTTTACTAAACTTGAAAATAAGGGTATATTATCAGAAGCCTACTTTATTCATTAGAAAAACAACCGATTATGCGCTTTTCTTTTATTACTCCACGAATACAGCAATCAGAAATTCACCGTCCTATCAATGAATG